TAAGTATCAATATACATAGAATATACGGGACTTAAAGAAATTAGACGGTAACGTCACCACTAAATCCTTCGCTACACTCCATTATCACCTGTCTCAACTTTTTTCCTTCATTATTATTATAGTTGCAAAGTACATGGGCTGGCATATCGATTATATGGATGAGGAAGATTTATGCTAACATACCAATTTTCTCTCTCTTACATCGAGTGCATTATGTTTTGATCCAAACAAAACAAAAAGGCCACTATTATTACACGTAGCATATTGCATAACAATTCTGTATTCGTTGACTGGGTTCTTGAATGGATGGGTCCCGAAACAACAGTTACATTGCACTAGTTCAATTTAGTCAGTTTGTGTTAGTTATAATTGGCTGTCTTCATACGCTAGTGCAAATTGATGTTAATGACAGAATATGCTGTACTACTATAAAGTGGAATATCGAAATATTGATCAACGTTGCACATATTAATATGACGGAAACTTTGTAAATGGCAAGACATTCTAACATCCTCAACTCAAGATTGCATTTTGGAACATCCCATCAACCTGTCATCCTCAAACATCTCCTTACTCTTCCGTCTCTCACCAATCCACAATCCTCTGTATTAGTTAAGCATACAAGGATATTGAATAATTTTCAACCTACAGTGTATTTGGCATGATCCGATGCGAGAGTTTGTCTGCTTGTTCCTATAATATCCATATGGTGAGACATTTCATAACCGCCTAACACTACATAATATAGTCAGAAGATTAGTGTAAGGTGCCGTATTCATAAGAAGAGTAACAACAACAACAGTAACATCAACGACAGTAACATCAACGACAGCTGCAACAACTGCAACTACAACAACTGTAACATCAACAACAGCTGCACTTTTGTCCAGCCCCTGCCTCAATCGAAATGTGTACTGATTGATATGAAATTATCGCTAGGGTCAAAGTTTTGTTGTTGTAAAGCTTGCATTAATACTTGCAGATTTGAGTCATGATATAACATTTGTGCTCTCAAGTGTGAAGAAAGTTCCAGAAATACATACAGCAAGGTAATACTATTAGTTATGACTATTTCACATATTAATATGCTCCATCAAATTATATTCATTATTTATGGAATTTGTCCTATTTGAGTGTATTTTTTTTAATACACGTAGTTCCTATTATCTTCAATTCTGGGCTGGCATTCTCAATCTTAATGAGAGAAATAAGTAAAATTCAAGAGTGGTTTGGTCAGAATGTAAGAATTGCTTCAGTACTTACGAGGTTATCATTATACTTGGATCCAATTTTGCTGGTTTGAAGATGTTTTCTGCACCTCTGTCAAAGACTGCATTGAGTATCTATTGTTATTTGTTCCGAAAACAATCAACATAGCAGTCACTCGCATGAATATGAAAAGTTACTTTTTCAAGAGTATAGATTAAGTTTTGCTGTATTGTTTGCAAACATTAACAGTGATTATAAGGAAGTGTGACTACATAGCTGATAGGAGCGTAAACAACATGATAATAATAGCGCAATATACTATGTGCTACGAAAAATAGAAGCGCGTATTAAAATTATTTGTTTTGCACGGTTCTTTCATATTTTTGTAAACACTTACGATTGCTTTTCAACTGGCGGCGAGTTCTAACCTTTGTTTTGCCTCAACCCTTGCTTTTTGCTGTCAGATTTGACAACGGGTTACTTTAGATTACGGCTACATTACAAAATAATAAATGCCAACGTATATTTAATATTATAAATAGATTATTTAATAGATACATAGTTATATAAGCAGTGGTATTTACACCATTCTCAGCGATTGTTTGGATTCGTTCTTCAAATCTAAACTTTTCTTACTAGGACTGTTAGTTTATCATTTATGTAATAAATAATATACACATGGACCTTAAAATACCCTGGCCTCTCTTTCGATTACTGTAAACCGCAAGTTCCGAAATCGCCGAATAGATTCGATCTTGTCCATCGAAATCTTGAAATTGGCTTGGTGTATATCATTCCCCGACGTCCTACAAACTATCCCATCGATAGAGGGTAGAGTTGTTATAACTGCAGTGTGATTAACAATAGAGAATCTGCGTAGGACTATTGATAAGCCACTAATGATCTTGCACTATGTATTGTCGAGCCAATTACCGCAGGACAATTGGCCTTTGGGTTTTAGCTTTTTCAATCGAGGCTTGGCTAACCTCTACTCCTGCTTAAATCGCTAATACAGTTATTGACCTTTAAGTTGGTTTATATACCCACGATTCATACGCTCGGTCTTCCCATAATCAGCCTACAGTTTTATTTTGTCGATTCCACTAAATTGATTTCATTCTTCGATTATAAGACTTGAAAAAATACTTTATTAAATTTATGGCAATAAAACCTCTGTTTATAAAAACATAAAGCTCATTCATTACTGTAACCATTGTAGCACAACATTCAATAGTTCTTTTTCGTAACACATTGTATCTGTTGTATAACTACCAAATTACTTCTTCAAGTAGCAATCTAGCGATGAATGCCTCTTGGCTTTATCAATCAAGTATTCAAGAATGGATATCTTCCGACGGATCATATCAACTTAGCAAATGACCGTGATCAAAGCCACCGTAAGAATTACTCCGTTAGCTGTCATTTTTAGCCGCTTCTTCAATACCAATACTCAAGCCATTTATTATTATTTTACTAACAGTTGTCCGATCAATGTTAAGATTATACTTAATGTTGAGATAAATGTAATTTCACTTGAATACATAGAATGTTATCTTTCTGAAAGGCACAAATTTCATGTTTAAGTGAGTGGTTGGTTCCAACAAAAACTAAGGAGGTTGTGAATTAACGATTTATGATTAAAATATACAATTGCGGCAAAGAGGATCTGTTTCGAATTAAGGCATATATCGTTTGTATACGGTTTGTAACAAAAAAAGAAACGGATATAAATTTTTTTTTTCTCCAGCAAGAGAAAAAACAAGTATATTTTGCTTTCGATGGGGTAATGTATGCCGAATTTTACGTTGAACTCCAAAAGCATACCTGCAGGAGAGTGCTTCAGAAATTATAGACTAACCTTCAACGGTCTAGATATAAACCTAATACAAAATTTTTCTGGAATTAGTAAGACATTGTAGGGCGAATTTCTTATCAATTTACTATCGTTGTTTTGTCTTTCAATAAAGCCTTGTTTATGAAAATTGGTTAAATCGTTGAGGAACAATGGGCAATTAAAATATCCGGTTTTCTTGTTACACACTGACAGTACAATTAGAGACAATGCCAACCGCTGCATCACTATCTGCTTTATACCATGAACATATAAGTTAAATATCCATATGCTTTTACTGGCATACTTTCAGATTTAGACGAAACAACTCAAGGAAAAGGCCGAGAACCTTGTTTTTGATGAAAGTCTACATTTCTATTTGCTGCTTTTTTAGGTAAATAGATACTATGCTAGTAATTAATTGGTCGATTAATAAATTAAGTTTGCTGGCTGCGTTTCTGTGTCCCAGATATGAAAGTGAACGTTACCAAAATAATTTGTTAGTTTATTTCGATAACAGACATGCGGTCTGTGATGATTGTTTTTTGTCGGCTAGCATAATAGTAATACAATTTCCACGCATGATGATGTTCGATTGCTCTACAGCAATAGTAATAGTTTGTCTATACATGGTGTCACCACATGTGCTGATCGTATGGTAAACACAAGCCTGTTACAACCTCATGTGCATTTCGCCCCATTATCTTATTCGATAAACGCAATCTCAAACATAACCTCAAACGTAGCCTCAAACGTAACACCAATGCATCAATGTTTGCTTCATCCCCACTGTCTGTTGATACGTGTGTAAAAATGTGTTAATGTTAATTACATCACTCCAAACGAGCTAGACTTTTTTAACGGCCTTACTATTGTTCTCGAACAAATTAGCGTGTACGACAATTAATATGCGAGGCTAATAAGGATTAATTTCGTGAGAGCAGGACTACTCACGACATTGGTAATGGAGATAATATGATGGGAGATCTAGCCCAGATATGAAATGATACCCACGATTGCAAACACTGTGGTATGGAAGAAAAGAATAGAAACTAAATTGACAAGCTGGTCATGCATGTAATTTATATAAATATTTGCTGCAGTAAACGGTTGAACCAAGTCAAAACTACTACTACGACTCAATATTTGTTAATGAATTAACACAACTTGTCCATTTTTACCTGCCTGCAATCCATTTAACCTTCCTTACACCGAATATTCCATATTTATAATACAAGAGATGCAAACAACAGGCAGGGTTCCCATCCCACCACATAAGCGGTGATACAGACTGTATGTGATCTGGGCAATATGGTACACTAAAAATAATTTATATAGTAACGTATTCCCATTGTTGGTGTAAAGTTTGCTGTTAAAAAGACCTTTGCTTCTCTCGCTCTCTCGCTGCTCTGTCCTCATTTAGGTCACAGCTCAATAAAAAAAACATCAAACTTCATCCTTTCCTCACTCTTATTGGTAATATACATAACCAATCAAGGTTACCAATTCCAGTATTCGAAAATCATTTTATCCCAACTGGTCTTTCTTTCTCTTATCACCCCAATTTTATCCCGCCATCGAGCATAGGATAAAAGGTTTGCCTTGTCCGCAACAAAGCCCTTATCGTCTGAATTAGTTATTATCACCATTTGTCACCGGTACGTTTGTACGCAAATATCGAAATGAGATGAGAGAGACGATGTTAAGAATCAACGGCAATTCAAATTGATTACATCCATGCATCTCTTTTCCTCACAATGTGTTTGCGCCTAGGAAAATGGCTCTCGTTTTTTGTTATGCAGTCTTTTTGCGTCTCATCCGCCATCATCTCACAACGTCGTCTTTATCATAGTTGCCATTTTATTCCCATTCAATATACAGGGGTTGGCTTTGGTTTTTTTTCGTGCAAAAAATACATCTGTTTTCGTTTCATGCGCATACCTAAAAAATAGACTGGGTAATGTCTACGACCCATTCACTGTCTAGTACACACTCTTGTACTTCTATCGAACCCAAGACGCACGTCGAGGATGATCCCAGACAATCCGTGATCTCGTCCTCGCAGCCGACAATTGATCATCGTGCGAACGCCAACATCTCCGGCGACTATAACCATGTGACGAATTACTATGGTAGTTACCCTGCACTAGAAAACTCACCCATCGAATCTGTTCGTGCAACCGTTTCGATGAATGACGACAAATCATTACCATGTATGACGTTTCGATACTGGGTGTTGAGCACGCTAACCACGGTGTTCGGAGCGGCACTTTCGCAATACTATTATTTCACCACCATGCCTATGACTGTTAGTGTTTTCATCGCTCAACTCGTGAGTTATCCTTTGGGGGTTGCTATGGCGAGGTATTTACCACAAAAAGAGATCAAACTATTTGGAATGAAGTTTACGCTAAATCCTGGGTAAGCACTTTTATCCTAATTTGGTGTCAGTGTAACAATAATGCAACGGAGATCCAATATATAAACGCCGGTTCCCAAATGAGGAAAAAGGATTATACCGCCCGGTGTGTTCACATTCCCCGGACATTCGTTTTTTTTTTTTTTCGTTTTAATCCAAATCTCGTTTTTGATCTGCAGTCAACGTAAATGAAAAAATATATATTAATATATTAATTTGTACCACATCAATCACCTTTCAATATTAGACCGTTCAACGTAAAAGAACATGCTGTGATCGGAGTAACCGCTTCTGCTGCGAGTTATTATCCGTATGCAATTCACGCCATCTCTGCCCAGCGTCTATTCTTTTCACACGACTTTGGCCATGTGGCAAATCTGCTATTCTTACTTTCGTCACAATGCCTAGGCTTTGGATTGGTAAGAGATTTTATTAAATCACATTTTCTACCAAACCAATTAATAGCAAGCAGTAATGTTTATCTTTAATCTCTTTTCCTTTTTCATTTTCCAAGGCAGGTATATTCTACAAGTTATTGGTCGAGACTCCCCAAATGGTCTGGCCATCAACCCTCGTCAATGTTGCCTTTCTCAATACACTGCATGAACGCAAATACAACTTTGTTCGTAGATTATCCAGAATGCAGCTCTTTTGGGCTGTTTTTGCTGCTGTATTTGTCTGGGAATTGTTCCCCAGCTTTATCGCTCCCATTTTGGTTAGCGTGACAATATTATGTTATTTCAACAACACGGATCCAAAGTTTGTGACTTTGGGAAGTGGATTTCAAGGGTTGGGGATTTTGGATGTTACCTTTGATTGGAACTGGTTAATCAAATTTTCGTTAATGGCTACTCCTTGGGTAAGTACTTGATCAATGCTAAATTACCCTTTCAATTCGTGTGCCATTCAATTCGTGTGTGCCGCTCATTAACTTTTTTTTTTGTTTCTACAGTGGGCTCAGGCCAATTTTTTCGGCGGTTCCCTGATCTTTCTCTGGATCGTAATGCCAATAGTATATTACTCCAATCTCTGGAACACGCAAAACTATAACATAATCTCCACAATCGAATACGACTCGACGGGTGCCGTATACAACCTCTCCCGAATCATCAACAAAGCCACGGACAAGGTCAATTCCAGTCTTCTCAACAGCTACTCGGAAGTATACATAAGCTCGTTCTTTGCACTCACATTTGCATGTGGATTTATTGCAATCACCTCGTGTTTCACTCACATGTTTTTGTGGCATGGTACCGATATCTGGCGAAAGATGAAGAAAATAGCAAGCAGATTTACTGAATCGAATATAACGGAAAAGAAAAAGGACAATGAAGATGTTTTGGATACGTCAACGGTTAGGAGCGCCGCGGAATCGGACACCTGGGCAAGGAATCAAGAAACGCTGGAACAAGATGCTTGTGTGCACGTGTTGTTAATGAAGGCCTATCCAAAAGTGCCAGTCTTGTGGTATGCTGCAATCTTTGCGGTTTCGTTGACTATGGCCATGATGTTTGCCATCCTTTGGTCTACCGGACTACCGTTCTGGGGCGTAATCGTGGCCGTTTTACTATCTCTTGTTACCATACTACCAGTCGGTATAATTCAGGCCACAGCAAATCAGCAGATTGGGATAAACATCTTGTCCGAAGTGCTCGGGGGATACATGTTTTCCGGTCAGCCTGTCGCCACGTATTTATTCAAAGTATACTCTTACTGGGCATTGCAGCAGTGTCTGATGCTACTCACATCGTTTAAACTCGGCCAGTACATGAAAATCCCACCACGCGTCATTCTTCTCGCCCAACTGTACGGTACCGTTCTTTCTTCGCTCGTAATGTACTTGGTCATGACGTTCGTGATAGACACGCACGCAAACGAGTTACGTGCCAACACTCATCCTTGGGCATCGTTATATCCTGGATACTTTTATACCGCGTCAGTGATTTGGGGTGCTGTTGGGCCATCGAGGATATTCGGTACAACTTCGCCGTACCGTTCGTTAATATGGTGTTGGTTTGTCGGATTTCTGTTACCGGTGCCGTTCTATCTGTTGAATCGCAAATTTCCCAATTCAAGCTTTCCTTGGAGATCGGTCAACATACCTTTGATATTCCTCGGTGCATCATTGACTTCGCAATTGGCAAAGAACTATCTAGTGTCTGCATTGATTGTCGGGTTTACAACGCAATTTCTGATATATAGATACAGGCATCATTTGTGGAGGAAGTACAATTACGTATTAAATGCGGCATTGGATTCTGGAACGCAGGCGTGTGTGTTGCTTGTGTTCTTGCTTACAAACGGATTCTTTACGGTGAGTATATATATAATGATTTCGTAATTCTCTCGGGCTATGAAATCTCGCGCAGCATCTAACTTATTAATATGCTTTTTACAGTCGATTCAATTCCCCGTTTGGGCTGGTAACAACCCTACTAATCATGAACAATGTGCGGTCGCTCCTGCCGGTTCATGACTGTAACATATACAGATCTGTATGTAATACACTTCTACAATTGTTAGAAGAGGGGGGTATGCATAAACCAGTATAGTTTATCGTTTATACTTCCTTAATGTAGTTATTAATTTTGTACAATGGCGTATTAATGTAACTATTATCAATAATTGTTAAATATAAAAAGAGAAGAACACACTGTCCTAATTGAAAATTACTTACGAATCGTCATGCAGAGGGAGTGAGACCAACAAAAGGAAATCTAAATAGTGATATAAAATTACGCTTATTAGATGTTAGTCTTACAGAATGGCGTGCAGTGGTGGTTAAGAAGGCAATCCAAATAAACAGAGAGAAAACCTAATTTTTGTCCGACAGCAATGATGAAAGTATTATGCCAAGACTTGTTTACTCGGTGATAGAAAATCTTATTCTAGTAGAAATGAGAATCATTATCTAAAGTGCCTATATCTTATTACGTCGTCGCCTTGTCATATTGCATTAAATTTAAGAGACTAACTATAACAGGACAAACGCTTCTACCCTATCTGACTAGTCCCGTCGGGAACCTGTAGTCGGAACGATAGTCATCGTAGTAAGTTTAATATGGCAGGCAGGCAATCTTAACAATGTCGTAATATTGGAATTAATACGCGACAAGATGATATAAAGCAATCAGACCGACAAGGAGGTGTGGGAGTGGTTGGTTAATCTTCTACATTGAAGATTCGCTCGTGTAATCAACATATACATAATCACTAGAATTGTTGACTCACGTCCAACGATCGCAATATGTACAGTATATTATTTATTTTATTCCAAAAAGATATATATATATATATATGTGTGTGTGTGTGTGTGTGTGTGTGTGTGTGTGTGTGTGTGTGTGTGTGTGTGTGTGTGATCACTTGTAATACTGAGTCTATTGCGTAAATAAATAGAATCTACCTAAATGTATGACAGACGTGTTACCCGCCCGCTCAATTAACCAGCTTACGCTGGTTGCTGTTTGCTTCGTTCAATAGCTTCGCGTAATTTTTTACCAAACTTTTCCAGCTCCGCACTAACTTCCCCCTCACCAAGATTCGCTTTATTGAGAAGTTCTTCCGCTCCAGCAACATCTTTCTTTACCAGCAGTCTCCCATAAAACACCATTGCTTCCCTATATCCGGCATCGGAGGACATTTTAAGGTATTTCACCGCAGTTTCATCAAGCCTTTGATGAAGCTTCTGCCAGTGTGTCGCGTATAAATATCCAGCTTTTTGCACATGACCTTCCGCAGCTTTGGCAAGATGAACAAACGAAGCCTCAATGTCTTGAAAACCGTATTTGACACTGACAAGGTAGAGACCCAGGTAATAATGGCCGAGTGGTTCACCCAGTTCAGCAACCTTTTGGAATTGATCGAATGCTTGTTGATATTTGCCTTCCTTATGAAGCGCTCGGCCTTTTTCTAAAAACTCTTTAGGACTAACTTTGTCGTCTTCAGACGTGTCTTTTCTGTCACCAGCATCACCCTCCGTAGATGATTCTAAACCAAGGTTGAACACCGATCCTGTTGGTGTCGGGAAAGCAGACGACGTAGCTGACGGAGGCGTTGATGTACAGATGGTAAGTCCAAAGCTCGAAGCACGAGATCTGGAAACGCTGCCGGGTTTGATGCCCGTGACTGATGCAGAGTCGGAGTCAAAGCCACTATCGAAATTGCCGTTTGATGTGTTGTTGTCTTCACCAGGTATTTTTATTTCAGGTATATGCTGCGGACGAAATTGGAAGTAATCCTCTTCCCACAGTGGATCTATACCGCTGGCAAGTCGGTTTAAAACCTCGTATATTTCCTTCATGTCAGGTCGATCGTCCACTTCATCATTCCATCCTCTGGTTATTATATCCTTGTATTTTGCTGGTATATCGATATCGTCGAGAGAAGGACGTTTACCGCTCAGAATCATGTCGCATATAACCATCGAATCATTGTCATCAATCTCTGCATAGGGAACTTTATGCGACGCTAGCTCCCAGAGAAGCATCGTAAAGCTATTTGGTTGTGTTGAAGCATATACGTCAAGCGGTGTAATCTTTTAAACAAGTCACGAAATAGAATAAGCCATACCTATAAACATCTGCTTTGACTGTATAGCTAGATGTAGTTGCCCACCATTCACTCTCGTCGTCACTACAGCCTATTCTGAGTTTTTCTGGCGCTCTCCATCTAAAAACGTGATTGCAATAAGTATACAGTTTTACTGACAAGAGATTGTGATACTGATTATCTTACCTAATTCCTTCAAAGACAAGCTTAGTGGACTTGTCCGCTACATTACGGCTATCCATAAAGCCGGCTAATTTTGGTGTAAGTGATCCATCAAGAAGGACTACGTCACTACGTAAAGGGAGCAGCATTACACAGTATTAGAAAATCGCCGGCTCGAATAAAAGTTGCTAACCAAAGGTTTACAAACCTCCGGAGGTTCCGATGTAAAAATTCGTGCGCATGGAAGTGCACCATGGCTCCAGCAAGCTCCATGGCGATCTTTAATTTTACATTCCAATCGAGTTCTTTTCTATTGTGTAAAAATACCCGGAGATTGTCAAATTCGCACCATTCGGAGACCAAATAAAAGTGTCCATTCTGTATGGTATAGCCTAAACTAAGTAACCAGAGACAGCAAGCATTATTAGTTAGAAAAGCATTTCTCCTTCGATAGGAAAGACGGTAATAATTATTGTTTGTGTTATTTACGTTGATATAATATTTGGATGCCGGCCAAGTTCCTTCACAACTGCAATGTGTTTTAGAAGCTTACTCCTCGTCTCGTCTTTAAGCAAGTCATTCGATCCATAATCCCTCATAGCCACTCGTTGTGATATATAAATCTTTTTCACTATTTGGCCAGTGCTTCCACGCTTAACCGGAGGTCTAGCCGCTTTAAAATTCTCGGGATTTCCTACCTTTAACTTTGTTTCTAATTCTCTTGTAGTTGTGTTTTTAACATCAAGAATGTTCTGAATTTTTGCATCTATATTAGAGACACCAACAGCTGTGGTGTTGACTATTGTATGAATTTGGAGGGTGACGTCAAAGTTAAACTCATTCATGGCCAAGTCAATCTTTGTCGAAAGAGACTCAAAGTCTGTCAAAATTACACGGGCCGCAACCTTCTGACGAACCATGCCCCAGGGTCGAAGTTTTCCCTCTACCTTGTTTTTCTTCAAGACTTTTTGGAATTCTTCCAGAATCGCCACAAAATTTTGGTAAATAGGGCTAGATGAGTCGGGATTGTGACGTTCCAAGGTTTCTTTCAGTCTTTCTAGTTTGCCAGCCATCGTCAACCATAAAGATTTATATTCTTTGGCTGCTTTTGCCATTTTCATGACTTCATTGAATAGAATTACCGCTTTTTCGGCAAATGGGAGGCAATTGGCCACAGCACCGATAATGTCCATGGCGACTTGAGCGTCATTTGAATTAAATGCCATTATGAAAATATGTGTATTTGTCTAGACAAGATAGTGCTTGGAAATTGAGATGACAAGAGGTAGCAAGGGTGAGAGTATTTGTTGTCTATGAACTTTTCTAGTATGCCGGATACTGTCAAATAAGTTTTGATTTTCAGGAGAGCCCCCGAAGAATGTCGCTTTTATGCATGTCCGAGCATAATTTGTCCAAAGGAACCAAGAACAATATTATTGGAAACGTACCAAATAACAAGGAATGTGAAACGTGGGCTTAAACAGCTTTTGGTTCTTTTAATATTTCCCGTGTAACATAAATGCTAGATGACCCTTCTAACGCTATGCCCAAACCGTTATGAGTTAGGTAAATCGGGTAAGGGGTGGGCTGTGATAGGACCAAAACAATATCCAAATTCGGACACAATGATAAGTGTGACCAGCATTGTGATATTTGGGCCAATACGGGAAGGTTATGCAAGGAACGATGTTTTCAAACGTTATGCATTGCATTTACTTATCGTTGCATTCTTCATTCTTATCTATCCCCCATTGCAGCAGGCGATAAGGAAATTGTACGTTGTCAGCTAAACTTGATATATAAATGTCGTTTGACAAAACTGACCCTGTTATTTCCGAATACAAAGAGTCAATTCTGCGCACTACGGCAGCACGCAGCAACGGATTTCGATGTTTCTTGTCACTCCCCCTTTTCGCAGTCCGTACGTTCTTTTTATCTTAAAACCCGTATTAGGAAAACGGCTGAGCGGACTTCGGAAGACTACCTTGATACAAGATAACGTAATGGTGCATTCAGAATTCGAACTATTAGAAGACGGTTCGCTCGAAATTTTAGAACAAAAGCATATTGCGAACGGTCACGTGTATTTACGGAACATTTCTATTTGGAGTACGAGAAAAGAACAAACTTGTGGAAGTAATAAGTACGCGAGGCTCGCCATATTTAAGCGCTCCTTGTTATGTGAGGTCTTGCAAAGTTTAGGTGAGGACGTCGTCGCCTAATCAGCACCTATCAATTCACCATTTGCACACCATGACGAAGAATAATAACCTTAAGAATATCTTAACCTGTAGAACCGTTGAGACTGTAAAAACGAGTCTTCTTCTAGTTGCCCAGCATGTCCCACTCATTGGGGAGGTCGCCAGCGTAGCGGGACAGATTCTCGATATGATGCAGGAGGCCCACAACAACAAGGCGATATGCAAAACTATTCACGACGTTGTTTTATCCAACATGGCTTTTCTAGGATCATTAGATAAAGAAGAATACAGCAACAACAAGTCACTTGAGGATTTTTTGAGAGTTGTCTACCTTCCGACTCTGACTGAGATTGCGAAAACGATCGAAAAGAAAAAGTCGCCTCTTGAATTTGTCGGAGTTT